TTAAAATAATGTAACTCAACGACAGCAAGCTACAGCTTTGAAAGCTTCGACGTCCATCATTTACTCGGCCTCATGTCGCTCCAAACCAGTATGACTTTCTTTACAAACAGCTCTGATTCTTAAACATCAAATCAGCATTATTTTAGTATCACTGAGATAATTTGATAGTTTTATATATATAGAGATATATATGTGTGTGTGTGTGTATATATATACATATTGAATCCGTTTTCATTTTAATTTTAGTTAGGTTTTTTTTATATATATATATATATATATATATATATTGTTATTCATTTTTATTTCAGTTTATTTTAGTACATCAAGTTAAACTAAATTAAAATACCACCTTGCAACTAGCTGACATAATTTGATAGTTTTTATTCATATTTTAAATTTTCTTTTCATTTTATTCTTTTTTTATTATTAATAATTAATTTTCTTGCATTTTTTCCTTTTTTTTAGTTATATACACACACACTTTATTTCTTATTTTCACTTTTACTTATTTTAGTATGTTAAACTAAATTTAAATAAAAAATGTTGCATTGTTAATATTTTGAATCAGTTTTGATCATTTTCATTTCAATTTTCAATTGTATGTTTTTGTGTTTTTAGTAGTTTTTTTATATATGTCTATATTTTTTATTAATTTGTATTTAAGTTTAGACATTTTAGTATGTTAAACTAAAGTAAAAATTAGAAAAATTCCCTTGTTAACTAGGTATAATAAAACATTTTATTTTATTTTATTTCAAGTAACAAAATGTATTTAATAGTTTTAATTGTAGTTTTTTAGTGAACTATAATTACCCTGCATCAAATATTTGCATGTTCTTTATATTTCAAATTCACTTTCATTATATGATAAAGAGCAGCGTGAACTTTGTGCTAAACATCTATTTTTGTGTTCCACCGAAGAACGAACGTCCTGCAGGTTAGTAACAACATGAGGGTGAGTAAATGATTACAGAATGATCATTTTTGGCTGAGCTGCCTCTTTAAGCCAGTGTTGTCTGTGCTGCTGCTGTTGTTGTTGTTGCTGATGATGATGAACCCTCACTAGTGTGCACAATACTCGGTGTTCTGCGTCAGTGCTGTCATTGCCTGCAGCGGCTGATGCACTATTGAACAGGGTTTCCCAGTAGCGGATTCCCTGCATGATCTCACGTTTCTGTTTGCTGTCTCTCTCATATTCTGTTGAGATTCACCCAATGCTGCATGCACAAAAATAACAACTGAACCCTTCAGATATGTTTCTCTGATGTCATCAAACCCATTAGACGGACATTATTGAAGATTTATTCCATCATCTGTAACAAATAGCATCAGAAGTGCGTTATGCAATAGAGGATTCTGTTTGAGATCAATTGACAAAAACAACAGAACAGTCGTGCATTATATTTCTGCTCTTCTGAATTCATATGATGCTTTGTGTGAGAAACAGACACCAATTTAAGTTAAAAAAAAAGGCATTTGGCATCAAATCTTTCACAATGAAACTGATTTAATGACTGAAAAACATCAATCGATGACTTCTCTTAATGTTGTCTGTGAAAAATGTGCACGTATTATATGTACCGTATAATGAAAGTGAATGAAGACGGAGCTTGTTGAGTTCTGAAAAACACAAAAAATACACAACTTAAGCAGGTAAAAGTAGTGTACTTCCACATTTTACATGGAGGACATTTTTAACATTACCGATTTGTTTATTATCAGCTCTTGTAAGATCAGTGTGATGTTTTTGAGTCATTAAAGGGGTCATATGATGCTGCTAAAAATAACATTATTTTGTGTATTTGGTGTAATGAAATGTGTTTATGCGGTTTAAGGCTCAAAAAACACATTATTTTCCACATACTGTACATTATTGTTTCTCCTCTATGCCCCGCCTTTCTGAAACAGTCGATTTTTACAAAGCTCATCTGTCTGAAAAGCGAGGTGTGCTCTGATTGGCCAGCTATCCAGTGCGTTGTGATTGGCCGAATACCTCAAGCGTGTGACGGAAATGTTACGCCCCTCACCATACTGTGATGATGCCCTGTCCGGCCGGAGCGATGATTCAAAAACATTAAAACCCATTATAAACGAGGCATTTGTTGCATCCAGTGGGGACATAATTATGGATTATAATGACTTATACTGTCTTTTTACACGTTGCGTTGTATCGCGCCGCGTAAACATAAAACCATGTCTGCATTTGTCAAACTCACGTTTGAATCGTCAGTGACAAATCCTTTAAATACAAAAAACGTACTTACAGTCTGTGAGTCAGAACAGCCGGCATTGTAGTCTACTCTCCCAGGATCAGGAAACAGTCCTCCATAAAATGTGCTGCACACATCTGAATATTTGGGTTGAAGTGTTCTGGAACAGTGTTGTAAATACAACTTAACCACTGATTTCTAGTCGTGTCCTCTTTTGGAAGACCAAACAAAGTAGTTTTGCTTTCACAACGAAACACACAGCGTCTTCACGACATGGCGGCGGTGGCAACAACAATACTACAGCGAGAATAAAAGTTATGCCTTCTTTCTTTGCGTGAACATTTGGGCAGCGTTATGCAAATATTCCCACATCGTGACGTAGACGTGTAGGGGTGTGTTAGAACGAGCCGTTTTAGGTAGCCGTGGCTGACTCTGAACTTTTATAAAGAATATCTCTTTGGATTTGAGACTTTAGTCTTTGCAACTTTACAGATCTTCTTTATGCACCAAGAGCTTGTATTTTATTTTGTAAGATTTTACACCAATCAAATGGCTTTTTTTTAGATTTTCAATAAATTATGACTTAAATGTGTGTCTGTTTCTCACATAAAAGCAACATATTCAGAAGAACTGAAATATAATGCATGTGTCATATGCTGTTATTATTTATTTTACATCACCCAGTTGTGAGCCTGCAGCACAAAAGCAGTGTTAAGTCGCTGGGGTATATTTGTAGCAATAGCCAACAATACATTGTATGGGTCAAAATTATCAATTTTTTTCTTTTATGCCAAAAATCATTAGGATATTAAGTTCATGTTCCATGAAGATATTTTGTAAATGTCCTACCGTAAATATATCAAAACTTCATTTTTGATTAGTAATGTGCATTGCTAAGAACTTCATTTGGACAACTTTAAAGATGATTTTCTCAATTTTTTCATTTTTTTGCACCCTCAGATTCCAGATTTTCAAATAGTTGTATCTCGACCAAATATTGTCCTATCCTAACAAACCATACATCAATGGAAA